ATATCAATAGCTCTAATGTTTTCTTTAAGGACTTTCCATACACTGGAAAACGTATTTTCATACATTTTTAGAAACCGAAAAATGTTTTGAACAACTTTGAGTTTGTTATTCAGTCTGCTATAATTGCTTTGGATTTACTAGTAACCAGAAAGATAGCACCCTGAGATACATCTACAAAAAGTAGACCTCAGTATTTCCTTCTCCTGTATCATATGTGACTGGAGAATTTTAATCTACAGAGTCTTTGCAATGCTACTTAAGCACTGGTTTAAGATGCAGAACAAGAGTTTCACCAGGGAGTGACAAATGAGCTCATCTTGCACTCTTCTGAGATATACATGTTTTAATGTACTTATACACCTCAGTTGCACTACTAGTAAGAAAAAAAGTCAGCTTATACTTCTGATAAGGTTACAGAACAAAGTAGTGTCAGACCACAAGAGGTAGAGATGCAGTGAAAACTACTTCTAATAAGGATTAGAGTGCTTTCTGTGCTTTGTTACACTCTCATTCTTCAGAAAAGTACATTTTACAATCCTGTCTCAAAAACTTAACATGTCTCGTGTAATTATCATTAAAGGCCACTATTGCAAACATATTTATCATTTTATTGAGAGAAAATATTCAGGACATGAATGATGAAAGGAATAGGATATCAGGTAACACTTAAAAATGTTGCAGTTGTATAACACAAATAAAAGACAAATATTAGCATAATATGTACTTATAAATGCCATTTCAAAACTCTTGGGTTTTCTTAAGTGGTTCTGAACAACAGTATGTCCATCCCTTTTTTCTGGAATACACGAACATTTATACTGTGTCTTAATGTTGTAAATGAAATCATTGCGCACCACTATCAGTACCACCACTGGCTGTCTATGACATGTTCTTCTGTGTAAATTAGGTTGTTTCTACAACACACTATCCAAAAACACGTGAACAACAGTAGTAGACAACCCCAGTGCAGCCCAGAAGCCATTGTCTTAGCAGTGCATATATAGCTAGCTTCTTCATATGTGTTAGCTTACATATATATATATAAATACAGATATATTCTTTTCAGAGTTTAAAACTGTTCAAATTTTGGTGTCTAGAAAGTATACAACATCTCAAGACAACAAAAAAAGAAAAAAAAGATAAAACTGAAATAGCAGGGTACCAGGTGGCAGCCTTGTTGTTGCATTTATCTTATAAGTATTGTGTCAATTTTTTCCATAACAAGCACATCCTGTATTGTGTGTGTCGACCCAGTCATTGATGGAATTTCTGTGCTTTTCCAATTTCTCACAATGACACTTTTCGACGCCATGATCATGGCTGAGAGCAAAGGTCACCACACTGCCTCCTGGTCAGCAATTTCAGGCATAGAAAAATAAAAGATGTGTCAATTTGTGTTTGGTTGTTTTGGGAACTGGGGATTTCTTTTTTATTTGTTGTAGTCCAAGTGACAGACTTTCTTGATGAAGCCATTCACCACTCATTCTTTCTTCTTGCAAAAAATTTGTGATATGATTATGTTTAGGTTTCTGATGTTACCTTTGTATACTCAACAGTTTAGTTCTGAAGGGGTTATGACAGACATAACATATTGTTTTAAGTTGTTAATTGCAGCATTAAGAAAGATGATACTGCTTTCTGTTACACCTTACCTAGGATTGTGTAATGAATCTTTGAAATACAGCTGAAGAAAGAGAAGAATAAAATAATTTGGAGTTCAGTGTCACTTCTCTGCTCTTATCAGCAGCAGTTAAGAGACAAATCACAGTATAAACATGTTATGTCCATGGAGATATTTCCCATATATAAATAACACAAGTTATCTCTGATATGCATTCTTTTTTCTTTCTCTATTCCTTCTAGGTTTACAGCACTTTGTCTCTGTGTATAGTTAGCAAAATGAACTAAATCTGTCTCCTCATTGAGACCATCAGCTTCCTCATCTAAATAGACACAAAGTGAGACTTTAAGGAGCCTCTGCTACTTCATTTCATAGTCTTGAGGTGATAGTAAACATCTGGAAAAGCATGTTTTTATGATTTAAATGCTGTTTAAATCCAGAGCTTTTCTACAACTCACTGCTAGACCCTAAAATTTAAGAGTTTATGGTGACAATGGCTGTTCTGACATTTGTCAAGCAATTTGTTTTAATTTAGAGTTATGTTTTCTGTTCGCCAACTGTTAATAGAAAGAAAATCCAGAAACAACTCAATGTTATCCTGACAGGGTTTTCTAAACTGTTTCTAGAGCTGGTCCTTGCTATGATAAGGCAAATTCAGAAAACTTTAAATGACAAGTAATTTTCATTGCAACCCATTACATGGAGTATAAAATAAATTTGCATTAAAGCACATTTTATTTCATAAGATATGCTAAACACTGATTACAAAAAAAATCATTATTGAATTTCTTTACAACAAACATGCAGGTATAAGGAGTGTGGCTATTTAAACAGACACATCAGATATCAATATAGTAGTGCCAAAGGAAATCAATAGAGTTTTTACCATATGCTACTCCTTCCTTGCTTTCAAGCAAAGGTTATCCCCTAAATATGTGAAATGAATAACATAAATATTATTTATCACAGTTTTTTACCTTCCTACTCTTGCTTAGGCTGAGAAAAAGAAGTTTAAAAATATGGCCTTACAAGACAGCATTTTATATTTACTTCTCCTGTCTCAATACAAAATATCTACCTAAACTTCCTGTTTAGCAGCCAGAAAACCTGAATTATTTTTTTTCCACTAGGAAGAAAGAGGATAAAATATTTTGCTATGAGAGTTGTATTAATCAACAGTTATATGAAATATCATTAATGTCCTACAGCAGTATCTCTTTTCATTTCCCTTGCATATGAAGGACCAACAAATACATCTAAATAACTCTGAGTTATTTCCACTTCAAGTCTTTCCATGTCAGGTTTCCATGCTTCCCCCCTCCACTGACTAGTACGAACACAAAATGCAAGGCTCGTCCTGAATGTAGGGGAGGTTCTTGCTGCTCATGGCAAAATAAATAAATAATTAGATAAATAAGTAAATAAATAAATCACATTCTTACTGGAATGTAAGAAATATAAAAAAGTGGAAGAGATAGATTGGAGACAGCCTGATAGATTGGAGACAGCTGAAAACAGCAAAAAGCAAGGAAAGTCCCTGACCTGTCACTAGTTGTGGGAAGGCAGGGAAAACATCTTTTAGGCTATTAAAGTGTCAATATCAGCAGAGAGCCATATGAAGGCAGTTCCTTCAGCTCTTTCAGGAGAGTTGTCTTTTACGAGAACTGAATCAAAAGAGTGTGAAGAAAATTAAATGACATAACAATAGAGCAAGGAATAGCACTTACAAACACATAAACGCAGACCAATGTCTCTATTGAAGAAATGTAAGAAATAAGCCAGATTTTTCTTTAAGAATACAGCTGAATTTCTCTGCTAGAAAACACAATAGCAATTTATTACTTTGAAAAGTCTTAAGTTATATCTGGTCTAAATGTTATTCATTAATTTTGACAGGCCAAATATTTTTGGCCAGATACGGCAGTATTACAAGCAGTGTGGGATTACTAGTGTCTGTTCAGTGAATCTAGAATGGTTTCCTTGCCGGTACAGATTTCACAGTGAACCATTTTAAGTCTGTAACATGAACAAGTATGAGAGTAATTGCATGTGAATGAAAAGAATCTCCCCTAGTTTTCAGTTTTTTAATACAGTGAGGGAACACATTTAAGGTCATGTAATTTTTGCTGCAAAATCTAAGTGCTCAGGATGCTTCACACTAGTGGTATTGCTTCGGAAAATAAGAAAGAACAGACTTCTGAGAACTCATCTCAAAAATGTCCTTCTCCAGATGACCATGTTGTGAAAACTGCAATGATTTGCCTTGGTATAGTAAACCTTCTTTTCTTTAATCTTTTAGCTAGGTGTAACAAAATTGAAAAAAAAAATGGGAGAAAAAACAAGGCAACTCCATTTTCTTCCTCTCAGGGATGTGCTACTGTAAGCTTTGTTTAGGTGTTATATAGCTACAAAGTAGTTCCTCTGTTGTCACCTGGTGCTAAGCCTGTCAAATCAAGTACTTCCAAGCAAATTCTGCCCAAAAGCTGTTTTTTTTCTTTCTAAGACTATTTTTCCTTAGTGTTTGGATTCAGACACAAGAACAAAATGAAACTCACATTCAAGTTAATAAACTCCAAAGTGTGCTCACAGTAGGTAATTTCAGTGACTTGCAGTGGCATGATTTATGCCATTTCACTACTTTTTCATTCTTCCAGGCTCCGAATGCATATTATTTTTCATACCAATTATATTAAGGACACCATAGATCCACCTAAGTGTTACACTGCGTTATTAGTAGGTACGTTTTCAAAGCACTGAGCAGTTACTTAGCTGTAACAGCTTTGAAAACTTGCATTCTCTATCACCCCCACCACCACCCCACCCCAACCAAGAGAAATAATCCTTCTCTTCCCTCCCCCATGAAGTGTTATGCTTCCTGAGCAACATCTATGGACAGATTCTTTGGCCCTTAATATTGTAACTTAAGCCTTTACATCCTTATGGTGAGAGAGTGAATGTAGAAGCACTCTGTATGCATGTACTTCCTCGTAGCTTATTAATGACAGCATTTTTTCTTCTTAATATTCTGTCCATGTTCCTGTTCACAGGAAGGCTGAATGATGTAGACTGTTTCTTGAAATCTTTGCCTTGATGATTTTTACTTCCTTTATCCACGTCAGCATGAGGTACAATCAAGAAATAAAAGCCTATTTTTTAGATACTGATAGCAATAGCAGAGTGCTTCCCTCCTCACCTCTCCCCTGCACTCTCTTCCTTTTCTTTTTTGAGTAAATGATAATTTTTATGTAGAGCTTTCTTTGGGAATCAGACTGATTTTGTCTTCCTGTTCAGTGCTCATCTGTAAATTCTACCAAAGAGAAGTCTGCATGCAAGTCAGCTTCTTCTGAAAGTTCATTCCCATTCTTTGTGCTTTTTGCAGGTATTTGCTCTACAGCTTCAACTTCCTTTCTCTCCTTCTTCCCCCTGGCTCCAGTTCTGAACTTTTTTATGTTTCTGTAAGGTGGAGCTAACAATACTTGGTAATAACACCACATACGTTGAACTTTCTGCAGCGACCCACTGAGGTAAGCAGAGAGTTATTAATTCTTTCTCTATTACTAATTTGGGATGAAATTTATAACTTATTATAAAGCATTTGGTAAGTTAAAAAGCATTGCTCAAAGAGTTTACCACTCTGTGATATAGCGTGTGAGTTTCCTTTTTATCCTACAAGTTACATTAAATTATATAAAATCCTTGAAGAAACCACCAGATTTTCTTCAGCAAAAATCATTTAGTTTATCTGACCTAAGTCTCAGATGAAAACTGTGCTTAGAGAAGTCACAATTTATTTTCCCCTAATTTTTTGCTGGAGATAACCAGATTGACAAGTGCAGGAACAGTATTCCTACACAAGTTTATTATTAATGACATGCTGTATATTTTTGATCAGCCAGATATAAAGAGGCTTTGCTCTAAGTGAATGTCTTACAATGTGTCAGCAGCCCTAGTTTTAAAGACTCCCAAAAGGAGAACATAGAGACAATGGTATAACTATACCCCCAAGCATACCCAGGAGGCTTTAAATCTGCCTGTTTGTCAACATGTGTATTCTAAAATATAGCGGTTTAAATATTTCACTTTCTTTCCTAAATAGTACACGAAATAGACAAGGTCAATATCTGAGATTAAACTGTTAACTGTATCAAAGGTTGAAAATGCAAGAACATTGGATTAATGATTAATGTCATTGCCAGCAAGGCAGAGTGGGCAGTAAAAGGCATCCACTATCAATGCCCAATTTAACTTTGCACATGACTCTTCTTTTGTCCATAATGACTAGCAATATTTGGCGTCTAGCAGGATTGTTGTAATACAGGAAACCGATAAAGTATATCATACAAAGACCGTACACATATATCCTGTTTCCCTAGATTATCAAAATGCAGGCACTTCATTCATATTTTTGAGTCTATCTCTACAGAATATTCTGCACCCAAGCAATTCAGCTGCACATCTCCTTCATCCAGTTTACCAAACAGCTCCAAACTCCTTTTTTATGTAGTGAGCAGACTACACAGCCCTATGATTTTTCTTCTGATCGTACCTTGCTGGGCAGTGTAGGGTGTTAGCCACTGCTATTTTTGTTATTGTTTCCAGTTGTTTCAATACATAAAAGGAGCTAAAATTGCTCTTTCAACGTAGAAATAAAACAACTCACCCATTTGCAATTGTTTCTGTAGCAAAGATAACCTTGAACATGTAATATAAATACAATTTCTTCATGCCTATATTCTATAAGAGATCTTCAAATAGTTTGAAGATGTGCTTGAGGTTGCAGCACTTTGAAGAAAACTTTTTTTTTTAAATAGAGCAATGGGGTCATTTCAGTATGCCTTATATTCTGTACACCTTGTGGAAATTAACTCTAATTACATACCTTCTTTTCTTATGCAAAGCATTCAAAACAGACACAGTGTTATATTTTTTATCTTACAACCTGAAAAGCTTATTATGTGCTTAAACAGTAACTTGAATTAAAATGTTATGCAAACACAAATTTGACGTCAAGCAACTAGAGAATATTCTCTTTTGGGATGTTAAACCAATAACACATAAACTATAGAAGAGAATGAAGATAAGCAATTATAAATAGTGTTAGGTGTGAAGTGAAGATAAGCAATTATAAATAAAAGTGAGTAACTGTATCTTTTTTTCTTTTTATACATACTTGTATATATCAAGAAAATAAAGAAGTATATATTAGTATAATATAAATTTGGAGTTATTTTTTATGCACATAAATATGCATACCAAAATTACTGTATCATATAGGGGGAGGGAGGTCAACTTCTATTCACCACCTACAGTAACCTTCCTCAGAAATCTGAGCTAGAAAAGCAAAATGTGAGGGACAAAATTACAGAAGCCAGAAAGCTGTCCTCATAACAAGAGCTTTCAAAAACTTAGAGGTTCCTGAGAGTTGCTCTTACTGAAAACTTCCTCTTTAAGAAATAAACAAAATAAACCCACAAATTTTCAGTGGTATGTGAATAACACTGATAGAAATTGCAAACACAGCACTAGACTTTTTGATAGAATTTGAAGAAACACTAGGAATTATACCAGTAGCTTTTAGAACTTTTCTTTAGTATACTGGGTAGCAGAGGCTGATGGGTTATATATGAAAGCAAACACAAAATACTCTTAAACTCTTTTAACTTCCAGAATATGATCCTGTAAATAGGGTTTTACTGTAAATCATAGGTAAATTGAAGGGCTCCCTTCCCTCCTAAATCCCCCTGCTCCAAATTTTGCGAGTACATTCCTGCTCTTTTGACTGCCTGGGGACAATTTGGAGTGAAGACACCAATTTAGCGTGATTTTCCCTTTCGATGTGGACAGTTTAATTACTCTGTGAAAACAACAGAAAACGGAGATCTATCGTTGTTCACCATCAGGCAAATGAACACAAGCTGACACAATCATTAACATCAGGGAAGACTTTTAGTGGATAGAGGAAGGGTATACTAACTGTGGTGAAGGATGGATGGGTGGATTTCACAGTTGTCTACTGTGCGGGTGTTACATGTCAAACAGAAATATAGAAAGGATTCATTTAATGTCAAAGATCTTGACTCAGACAGATGAAAAATTTTTGTTCAGAAAAGCAAATGGAATATTGTGATCAACCAGAGCAGTCACCGTAGGGAAAAAATTTGTCATAAGCTAAGCCTGTCTATATTTAGTTAGGTGCTAGAAAAAAACAAAATAAAAAGGGATAACTGTAAAACTATACAATGCAATTCTTTCTCCACACTCTTGATTTCATTATCCACTTTAATATTGTTTCAGAAACTAACTCCCTGCTGTGAGGAATTTGCAAGAAATCTGCATTATAGTAATTGTTCGCTGTAATTTTCTGCAAAGACTGATCTCACAGAAAAATTGTGTCATTTCTTTTTTTTTTTTTTCCAGTTGCTGTTGTATAATTAATATTGCATGCTAATATACAGGACTTGAAATTACCCATATTTAATAAAACATGACAAAATTCAAACTGTGTAACTTCTTTATCATTTAATCAAATATTCCCTCTGGGTGGTTGCCACTGGACAACTTCCATGACAGTCAAGTAAGACTTCTGTTGTATTTATATGCCTTCAATCTTTGATTAGTGTTTGAAGCATGTCCAGAGTCTAACCATTATAAATTACTTACATTTATAATAACTTAGAATACCTTCTTTATTTTTTCCTCTTGAAATATCAATATTTGTTGTAAATTATTTACATTCATCCAGTTCCACTCCACAAGAAAATTAATCATCTTCTGTTTTCCCACTAGGCTTCCCCCACACGCTTAAATTTGATTGTTTGATAATGCTGAGCATGCAAGTTAACTTCAATGCAACTTTTGTGTAAAGTTTCTAAACATGATTGTACTTCATTCAATGAAAAATCTCATTACTTCTAGTGGCAGCAGGATTGCTCTTAGAACTTTATAAACCGAATGGACTTGTAGTATTACTTCACTGACCTGGCAACTTTTTATTTAGAGTTGAATACACACTTACACATACACATATGGCTTTGTTAATACTTTGGATCACACTTGTAAGTGTCCGCGAGCTTTTTCTGACCTAATCCAATATACTCATAATTCCACCAAATTATTATAAGCCTCTTCATAGTCAATCTAGGTAGCATTTATTAGATCAAGTCAAACACCATCTGAATGTGGCCCCTTTTTTCCCAGACCTAAGGCAGGGCCATCTCAGAAGTCTGCACCATCTTGCAGTTCTAGAAGAAGCATGAGATTTTAGCAACTTGGTCTCAACAGGGTAGGCAGGCTGGGAGATTTGCGAAGCTTCCATGTAAGAAACAGAGTAAAATCTTGTATATTCATTAGCATTAGAGGAACTATAGAATTATTTTAGGAAATAGTCTCTGGAATTTTAGGAATATTTTAGGAATAACCTCTGGAAAAAGGGGTTGGTTAGTCATTAGCAATATCAAGGTGTAGTGAAGATATGTAGGGGGAAAAGTTAGAAGAGCAAAAGCCCAAGCAGAACTTAACTTAGCCATCACAGTTAAAGATAACAGGAAGAGGTTTTTTTCAGTATATCAATAAAAAAAGGCAGGCTAGGGAAAATGTAGGCCCACTGATGAATGAGGTGGGTGCCTTGGTGGTGGAAGACACAGAGAAAGCGGAGCTGCTGAATGCCTTCTTTGCTTCAGTCCTCACTGCCAAGGCTGCCCCTCATGAATCCCAGACCCTGGAGACAAGGGAGAGGGTCTGGAGAGAGGAAGACTTTCCCTCTGTTGGGGAGGATTGGGTTAGAGACCACTTGGCCAAACTAGACATCCATAAGTCTATGGGCCCTGATGGCATGCACCCACCAGTGCTGAGAACTGGCAGATGTTATTGCTGATCCACACTCCATCATTTATGAAAGGTCATGGAGAACAGGAGAAGTGCCAGAGGACTGGAGGAAGGCAAATATCACTCCAGTCTACAAAAAGGGCAAGAAGGAGGACCCAGGGAACTACAGTCTTACCTCTGTCCCTGGGAAAATAATGGAACAACTTGTTCTGGTTGTCATCTCCAAACACTGAAGATCAAGAAGTTATTGGAAGTGGTCAATGTGGATTTACCAAGGGTAAATCATGCTTGACCAATCTGATAGCCTTCCATGATGTTATAACTAGATGGCTGGATGAGGGGAGAGCAGCAGATGTGATCTGCCTTGACTTCAGCAAGGCTTTTGACACTGTCTCCCATTAATCTTTAATTAGTCTCCCACTGTCTTTAATTAGAAAATTAAAGAAGAGTGGACTAGATGAGGGGGCAGTGAGGTGGATTGAGTCCTGGCTGTGTGACAGAACTCAGAGGGTTGCCATTAATGGAGCAGCGTCAAGTTAGAGGCCTGTAACCAGCAGTGTCCCCCAGGGGTTAATACTCGGCCCAGTCCTGTTCAACTCATTCATCAATGACCTGGACGAGGGGAAAGAGTATATCCTCAGAAAGTTCACTGATGATACCAAACTGGGAGGGCTGGCCGACACTCCAGAGGGGTGTGCCA